TCTAATTAATAACAATTCTTCAAAAAGAAGGCAGAATCAGAGAAATGCCATGTACCTGTCAGAGGAGATAAAACCCCAGAACCTTATAGGTAAACAACAGGTCTCATGGTACAATATACAATAATAGGGAATGTGTTAATTTAAGATGTAAGAATTAGCTAAAAATATGCTTAAGCTATTGGCCAAACATTATTGTAATTAATATAGTTTCTGTGTGGTTATTTAGGATTTGGGCAGCCAGGAAACAAACAAGCAGCCTCCACCAAAACAATGTACTTCTTTAGAAATAATGTTTTATGTTTTAACAGAAATTGACAGCAATCAGTTCAGTTTTTTAAGCAGAATTCATACTAATCAGTGTTACACAGAATTTGTCAAGTATAAATCCACATCTAAAGTAATACTGAGGCTTTAAAAAATGACTACAAAATTATTCATTGTGGAGATTACTTTAGTAAATTTTCTATTGTAAAAATAAAAAAAAAAAACCTCCAAATTGGTATTATTCATTCAGGAAAACAGGTAGAAGAAAAATTAGCAAAATGCAAAATGAGATGAGTTTGTAACTTTTGAGATGCCCCACAGAACTTGTGTGGATGTTAGGATGAAACTATGACATGGTGGCAAAGATCTCCATAATCTAGCTTTCATAAGCTAGGCTCTAAACCCTATGCCATTTCATTCAGCCAATAGAGTCCAGAAATCCCGACTGAAAATATGTACTAGAGTTACAGTTGTCTGCTCCATTCTTCCAATAGACATGTTAATACCTAGTGCCGGTGTTCAACTGCAACAAGGACTGTTAGGCCATAGTAACTACATGACACCGGCGTTCATTTCTAGGATTCTCTCCCTTCAGAAATTCACAGCAACCCCCTCTTATACTGAAAAGCCTAACACAATTTGAAATTTACATAATAATAATTGTCACAACTTTAAACACATGGTTCAGAAACATTAAAAGTACAGGTCTTTAGTAAATATCTGATTATGCTTGCCGCTATTGAAGTATTCTAGTCCTCTGTGCAGAAAAGAAGTGTGCTACTAACTATGTTACAGCTTAATAGCCACAAAAGAATGTTCTATGAACATGTGCAGCTTAGGAGAACATCTAAGAAATCATATACCAATTTTGTTTCTTTTCTTGCCAATAAGCTTAGGCTCATATTTATTTGAACCCAAAGAAAACTATTTTAGAAGTCATTATTTATATCTCATTAGTCCTTTAAAATTCTGTACAAATAGATTAGGGGATTACTATTCCTTTAGAAAAATGAAATAATTTATATAAAGTAACTTGATTGAAGAAATGCTTTGAAACCATAGCAAAACAATTCTCATTGAACTAAAAGAAAACCATCATTGAAAAACTAAAATCATGTATTTTCCACGATGAAGTCTGTTGGATTATTTCAAGATCTGGGAAGAAAGTCACAGGTCAGTTTTATTGTACCAACCTTCATGGGGTTGTCCGGGGTGGGGGGACTTTAAGTGGAGAAAATTAACACATTAAAAGAAAACTGCATTAATCAGGCATGTGGGTGACAGTTGCTGGATAGGAGTCTTGAAACCGGAGAATGCATTTAAAATAAAAACTTTACCTCTTGACCAATTTTGCCCAAGACTGTCATGAGTATAACCACATAAAAAAATAGGGATTGTGCTATCAGGATGGCTAATTGCTATAAGTTAGAGTCTTTGAGATTATTTAACATTAAGTAGACAGTGACTTGCCTAAAACCAGACATTTTTAAACATATTTTCTTTTATTTTTTTATTTTTATATCCATTGGTGTTTGACCTACATGTCTTTGTGGGGGAGTTAAATCCATTGGAACTTGAGTTAGAGAGAGTTGTGAGCTGCTATGTGGGTTCTGGGAATTGAACCCAGGTCCTCTGGAAAGAGCAGCTAATGCTCTTAACCACTGAGTCATCTCACCAGTCCCTAAAATCAGACTTCTAAAAGACAGACATCCAGTCCTGCTAGTGCAGTGTCATTTCCGTCTCACTTCAAATATTTGAGGGAATACTTAAAGTACATTGAAAAGTTTGTTTTCATGTCAATCTATTCATAGAGCATTAGATAGATATTTTTGAATACCTATCAAATTTGGGGAGTACTTGGGAAATGTTTCTTCAGCTAGAGTTGAAAGACTAGTCAAACTTGCATTTTCAAACTTTCTTACTTCATTGCTAAAGAGTTAATTTCCTTGTAGCTTTTTACCCTAAAATCTTGGGAGATAACCTTACAATGAAAAATAATGTAAATTCTGGATGCTGGGTGGCAGTGTTGTTTTGATAGACAAAAGCAATATTTTTGGTTTGTCAGCAGGACTGCTACAAGGTGAAAATGCATTCTCCTAGTCATTCCAAATTACACATTGTTTCATCTTGACAAATCAATTTATGCAAACCCTGGATGCAGCATGCACTATACAACCCACTGATGCTCATCATAGTTTTATGGAAGCCAGTTGTTCTCAACGTTCCTAATATTGTGACTTCTTAATACAGTTCCTCAGGTTATGGTGAACCCCAAGCATAAATAAAATTATTTTCATTACTCCTTCATAACTATATTTTGATTAAGTTATTAATTGTAATGTAAATATCTGTGTTTTCTAACGACCTAGGTGACTACAAGTGGGTGAAGACCCACAGACTGAGAATCACTGATATAAGCCCAGACTGCCAACATTAGTCTCTTCAACACTTTCTAAGATACAGCTGTCTCTAATTATCTTCAGTCTGACAACCAGAATTAAAACTATCTTCAATGAGTTAAGTTCAAGAAAGACTTGTACTGAAAAAGGGTTATCTGACAAAAGGGCAATGCACTTAATTCTTATATGAACTTTTTACATGTATTAAGACTGTTTAAATTATTTTTAATATAATTTCTTTACTGAATCTTTGGGAATTTCACATCATGCACCCCAATTCTGCTCATCTTCCAGTCCCTCCATATCCTTTTTTTTCCCTCAGCAGTGAGCACCCAATGAAAAAAACCCATACCAAACTAAATCAAAACAAACAAAAGAAAAACAAAAAACTCAAAGGAACAAAATGAAACAACAAAACCCTCTTCACTACTCCATCATTTCTGTCTCTCCAATATCTCTTCTTTCATCCTGATGGCATTGGAAGCCTCGGTGGGTCACACAGTCTACCATTGCTGCCAACTGTCTGGGTCTGTGATCCTACTGTAGCTGGGTCTGTGTTGATGTCTGTGGCCCATAAGAACCATGGTGACCATGTGTGATAGAATCATAGGGTCATGTTAGGCAGGCCCTGCCCTTCACTGGATGCTGCAGCAAGAAGAGCTGGCTCCAACCTCATGAAGGCTGGCACCTACACTCAGGAGAGATGGCCCCACTCTTCACCATAAGCAGGGAAGAGCTGACCTTGATGGCATGGGCATAGGGGATCTGGCTCTGCCTCTGCCCTGGACTGACCAGCTCAACTACCACCCAGGCCCACATCCAGGCTTGGAGTTGGCTCACCCTAACATCTTACCCATCTAGGACCAGCTAGAACTCATGAAGGGACTGCTCCTATGGAACAATGATCACAGAATCTTCATGACTCAGGATATCTGAGAGGAGTGCCAGTGAGGATCCAGTGATGATGGTGTACCAGAAACCAGAGGCCTTGAACCAGATCAATGACCCATTGCAATGAACATTTGCAAATAAAACTCATTGTTTAAATTATTACAAAAACGTAGTAGTATATAAATATAGCTTAAATGGTAACTATTCCATATTAGGTTTGTCTTACCAGGAGAAGCTATTATAAATCTACAGTAATTTAGCTAACGTGAAAATTTAGTGAACTTTCATTTAAAATTTTCTCTTGTCCTTTTCCCCATTTTCCCTCTTTTCTAGAAAAAAAATACTAATTTTGAGTATGACCATGGCTAACAACAGTGGAAAGAGTGACAAAGACTTTGTCAACAGTCTAATTACATTTATGGAGGACGACAAACTCCAGGACATGTTAGACGTGAATGAAGGTAAAGCCCATAAATCAGTCATCCCTCTGGCTTAATAGAACCTGCCATAAGGTCTCAACAGAACTTGTAATTACTAAAGAAGCCATGTATTATGCTGAGTGGATGAAAGACAAGTAGGGGATGGTTCAAAATCTCCATTACTCCAGTTCGCACCAACTTTCATAATTGGTTAGAGAGTTAGAAAGGAATCAATACATGCACTAAAACAAAGTCTTGGACCTTCAGTCTGTTTCACAGGCATTGTTAGTGTTAGTACAAAACCCACAGAATACAGGAACTTTGAGAAAGAAAGGTTTTCACTGTCATTTTAAAACAAGTATTTAAGATAAAGCTGACAGTTTGCACAAACAGGGAAAAATGGGTAACGCTAAAAGAAGTGCTAATTACTCTGTGTAATTTACAATATTTAACACTTTTCTTAAGTGTGCCTTAGTTGAAAGCTACAAATTATATTTAAAAAAATTAAACTCTGTTTTTACAACTAGTACTTTTTACCATTTTGCCCATATTCTGTTTACGTTTTGAATTTCTTGAGCTAATGTATAGATGGCATTGTCAACACTCTCTCTTAAATTTGCTGTGGTTTCAATAAATGGAATCTAGTCACTCAGAGAATTTTACTCCTGCTTTTTCTCAATAGTAGTGAATATCTCCCAATGACTTCTTATTATTCATGGCAAATACACAAAGAAAGCCCTCTGGCCCTCATACACTGACCCCTGGTTTCTTTTGAACCATTGTGCTAAGAATATTCATGAAACGGGTTTCCCCATCAATTACTACTTGCCTGCTCTAGCAATTCTCTATTGTAGGATGATAATCATTCACAAAGTAATTCTGAATTATTTGTATCACCAGGACATTCTCGTCTCTACCACCAGCTCCAACTACCAAGAGTTTATATTCAGTAACTTAAAACAGACCTCTATCTGCTCCTATATGTCTCTGGCTCCCACCATCACCTTTAGGAGCATGTACCTGTCATTCATGGTCCTGAAATGGAAAAAGAGCAGTTTCAACCCTAGCCAGTAATACTTTTCCCAGTCACCTTACCTGCCACCAATTCTCTCTTCTATAAGTTACTTTAGTTGTGTTTTCTTATCACGGCAATAGAAAAATAGTTAATATAGAAGTTGGTACCAGGGTGTGGGGTAACAGCTACTGTAACAGCTGACAGACCTAAGCTTCTAATTTTTGTTTGGTTAGGACTGGTTGGTTGATTTGTTGTTGTTTTGCTTTTTGAAATGTGGAAGACTTTGGGACTTTTAAGGAGAAAAGTGGTAGAATATGTGTGCGTAGTTCTTCATGGGTCAAACTAATATAGAGAACAAAGACAGTGGTGCTAAGAACTAAATACACCCTTCACTGCTGGTGGGATTTCAAATGGGTGCAGACACTAAGGAAGTCGGTGTGGAGAATACTCAAAACTCTAAAGAAATCTACCATATAATCCAGCCATACTGCTCCCTGCGATGTGCCCAAAGGACTCGATCTCCTACTCCACAGATGCTTGCTCAGTCATGGTTATTACTGCTCTACTCACAATTGTTATAAAATGAAAACAACCAAATGTCCTGCAACTGAAAAATGGGTAAGGAAATTGTAATATGTATGAAATACTATTCATCTATAAAGAAAAATTAAATCATGAACTTGGCAGGAAAATGGATGGAAAGATCACATCACATCAAGTGAAGTAACCCAGATATAGAAAGACAGATATCATGTGTTCTCTCTTATTTGAGACTTCTAAATCAAAATCTTCACATGTGAGTACATATTGTGAAAACCAAAATGGTACTAGTGCAGGGATAGGGGTGGTGGTTAACTTTTTCATTATCTTTTACTTCAATAGAAAATGAGTATTACAAGGAAACAAAAAACAGAACTGATATTTTTGTCACAAGCTACAGTTTTTTTCCAACTTCCCCATCTGCATGTATCACTGTGAGAAACATCACTTTCCCAGATGGAGCAATAATACACAGCCTCATCCTCCGCCTGTAGCTCAGAGATGTGTAAATTTGCAGCATTCTTGGAGGTATCTTTGGATCCAGAGACTCTATTGGTGACTCCAGGCCCCAGTTCCTTGTCAGAGTCTGAGTAGTAGTACAGGAAAAACTTGGGAGAGCTCCCCTCCATCTGCTGGTACCAGTATATGTTTTTACTACCAACACTGATGCCACTCTGTAGGGTACAGGTGAGTGTGGCTGTTGATCTAAGAGACTGAGAAATGGAGGGTGGCTGTGTCAATACAGACTCAGAAAAGGAACCTGCAAAACAAGACACCACAGTGAATCGCAGAGCTAAGGTACAAATTCTTGTGTATTTGAAACATAAGGGATTAACTCAGTGTAGGAGTCATTCGCATTACTCTTCGACCTTTCCCTACCTGTCCAGTAAGACAGAACCATGAAGATGAGCGGAGTCCAAACCATTGTGGCCACAGCACAGCTTCTTCTTAGACTAAGGTCTCCTGCTTGGGCTGTCTCATTATCTCATTGCCAGGGACCTGGCAGAAAAAGAAGGCTAATCATGCAAATGACTTCCTGTTAACTCCTCCCATTGGATGATTGACATCCTGAGTTCCTGAAACAGAAAGCCAGGTGATGAGAATTATTTGGTTCAGTGGAATATAAAGCACGTGCTAACACAAAGAGGCCTGTGTGCAAGGACCTCTTGCAGATCCACAGTAGAACAGTTGCTGATGCCTCTAAGTGGAGGACTCAGTCATTGGTGCCATGTCTGTTAAGGTTAACATGTGGGCACCTGTCTTGCAGAAACTCCAGAGAGACAATAGGAATAATCCTTTATGTCCCAGAGCAATTATTTGCTTATATCTGTCTGAGCAAACACTTCTAAAATGTAAAGAGAAGTGGGCATTTAGAAAGGGACATTGCTGGATTAAGAAAACAATGCTCAGTGGTGATGGAAGAGGACAGGTTTATCTTACAGTATTTAACAAGACGTTTGAGAAATTAATATTTCTTACAAGACTCATGCTTACATGACTCAGAGGAGTAGCCAAGGAGATGTAAGGGATAGATATCTGACCTTTTTTTTGCATCATTGTATGCTAGAGACGTGCTCAAAATACAGGTAAGTCATCAAAGTTAGCAGAGACTCAGAGGGCGGGATGGACTGGGAAAGGATCCTTGCAGTAATAAAGACGAACAGATGGTAGATGAGATGCTGTAGTAAAGTGCAGTAGTGATCTGTGCTTAAGACGCAGATATGGCCAAGGTGACAACAGAGCTCTTAGGCCTGTCCCTGCCCTGCAATGAGAAAAAAGCAGTTCAAGACCAAAGATCTCCTCAGGGAGTCTAGGTTGTCCCAGGCCTCCTTTCCCACCCCTAAAGAAAAGTGGCTTTTCCTTCAGAGATGTTTCCCCCAAGGCTACCAAGACTCTTCATGAGCCCTGCTGCTGAAGCTCAGCTCACAAACAGCCTGGGATAGAGATGGATAGACTTTCAGTAATGGAAGAGTCGTGGGAGGAATCACTAGCTAAGACTGAGCCCCTTGCTCCCTAAATTCTGACAGGAGAGAAGTATCCCACTGTTGAGTCTCCTCAGTGAGCACAGGATGAGCCCTAATGCCAGTATTATATCACAGTCCTACAGCACCCCCTGTTAGCCAAAGGATTCATAATAACAATAATACAGAGACCTCATAACACAGGTTATTCTCCTATTCACAAGATCACAATCTGAACCCACAATCCAAGATTCTGTGTTCTAAATCTGAATGGATACCGCTTGATCTGCTGTAAAGATTGTCGTGTCCAGAAGAAATCTTTGACACTCTTAAAAAAAATATACAAGAATAGTAAAATGTTAAGTTCATCCACAGAAAAATGGTAACTATCAGATTACTTCATTGGTATGTGATTTAACATGAAGATATATATTTTGGTAACACAAACATGCAAACACAAACATACAAATACTATTTAGCTCTAAAGAAAAATAAAATTTTAAAACTTTCAGGGAAATAGATGTAGTTAGAATGTACAATGTTAGGCAAATTCACACAACATCATGCTTTTTTCTATATGTAGGATCTACCTGATAATATATGTATTACATAAACAGACATACTTGTGGGTGCAGAGGAACATGAAGAAAAGAGAATAAGAAAGGATAATTTAAGGGTATATGGGAGAACTGAATACAGGTAGTGGATATTAGTGATAGAAAACAACATGAGGATAAATCATTTTCTAGTTCTAATCTTGTCATAGAAATTTTGGTTTGGGTGGTGAATAACTAAAAATATTTGATGTGGGAGTGTCATATCAATCTGTTGATTTCATTGGCTGAGCAATAAAGAAACTGCTTGGCTGGCCCTGATAGGTTAAAGCATAGATGGGAGGAGTAAACAGAATAGAATTCTGGGCGGAAGAGGAAGTGAGGTCAGACTCTGCGCTGCTTCCAGAGGGACCGGACAGACACCATGCTCTGCTCTCCCAGGCAGCTGCAACCCACGATGGACTTAGGCTAGAATCTTCCCAGTAAGCGCACCTTGGGGTGCTTATACACATCATTAGAAATGGGCTAGTCCAGGTGCGAGAATTAGCCTGTAAGGGCTAGAGTTCATGGGCCAAGCAGTTCTTAAATGAATACAGTTTGTGTGTTGTTATTTCGGGCATGAGCTAGCAGGCAGCTGGGGTGTTGGGGATGCAGCCCCGCTGCTCATATTTCAACAAACATTATTTGATACAAAAACTATAGATTACAAATTGAAGCTTCGTAGATTTTGTTCAAAATACCTTTTCTAAATGTATAGAAGTTTGTAGCATATCAAACAAAGAAAGTGAGCTTCTTTTAATCCAAAAGTGATTCTGTTGTGTGAGCAGGTATTGGAGAGTTGGAATCTACCTAGAATTTTTTTTTTGTTATTAAGGTTATTGCCACCTAAAAGACATGCTTTTGTGTGCTCAAGATTCACACACACACACACACTCACACACTTGGACCCTCACACATGACTTTCCTAACAACCAGGCAATGTGGGTTTTGGACTAAGGGAAGTTAATGTTACTCCCTCTGGCCTTCTTATATCTCAGAACTAGACAGAGTGAGTGCATCTTCCCAAGGAAGGCAGCGATCACTTCCATTTTCTGGGCTTGTAGCAGGATGCTGCAGCTGTACTTCTTCGTTCTTCTATATACCAAAGGCAAACTAACTGTCTGCTACTTTGTGGAGAGCCTGGCTGAGGAAGTGCCCCACCTCAGACAGGTTTCCCACCACATAGAGCCCTTCACAGTGCCGACTCAAAATAATTTCCCCCTCAAGCCAAAAGAATTCTGCAGATCATCTTAGCACACATCCACCACATGTTTGGATTCATCAGATTGGGTGATGCAGAGAAGGGCCTTTGTCTCTGTAGTGCTGTCTCTTTAAACTGAATCCTCCCACTGGCTGGAGGTACGTTTTCTCTTTTTTTGCTCCTTTTTATTGATTTTATTGATCTCTACATTTTTCTCTGCTCCTCTCCCTTCCTCTCCCTTCTCCTTCAACCCTCTTCCATGGTTCCTATGCTCCCAATTTACTAAGGAGATCTTTTCTTTTTCTACTTCCCATGTATAGATCCACGTATGTCTCTCTTAAGGTCGTCATTGTTGTCTAGGTTCTCTGGGATTGTGATTTGTAGGCTGGTTTTCTTTGCTTTATGTTTAAAATCCACTTATGAGTGAGTCCATGTGATAATTGTCTTGGGGACCTTGAGGGAGGGGTTGAAGGGGAGGGGAGAAGCAGGGAGGAGAGCAGAGAAAATGTAGAGCTCAATAAATATCAAAAATAGAACGTAGGTTGGCACAACCATTTCAAATATACTATAGAAAATCACAAAAGCTGAAAATGATCTCATAGACAAAAACAATCTAAAAAAGTCAAATTTACAAAAGAGCAAGTTGGAATGCTTACTAGCAATTGGTGTGAATTACTGCTAGTCTGGACTGTGCTATTTGACCTATAAAATGCATAACCAGTATGATTTTACTTGATCTAATGGGCATGTAATTTTGATTGTTATATCCATATTCAATAGATCACACTGTTTTTATGTGCTAATGTCATCACTCTCTGCAAATTTGAGTATATAGTACAATACTGATTGTTACCATCACTGCAATTTACTGTCAAATACCTAACTTTTGAACTTGATTTTTCTGTATTTTGATTCTAAATCATTACCCATAAAATATGTATTAACAAATATATGTAAACAATTCTTTAAATGCGAAAAAGGATTAACATTATTGATGTTGCTTCATATATGTGTTATACCCTATATTCACATATCATGTATATTATTGATAAACACATCATATATGTGATTGAGACACATACACTTGATCAGTTTATTAACTGACTACCATCTGCTGCCAACAGAAGAGGTCTAAAGAAACTGTGAAGGCATAGCTACTGAAATCATTTTTCATTCTAAGGGAATTCCTTTAACAGTTAGGGATTTATAACATTGGGAGAACCTAGCAGTAAAGAAGATTTCAAGGTTTTGAAGTGTCAGCTGCCATCCCCAGGGAAGAAACCTGAGAAGCATAAGCTCCCAAAGAATTTTAGGGGAAGATGATCAAGAAAAACTGCAGAAACCAATAATGAGCATATCTGTCCAATGCATGATTGACAAAATGACATTAAAAAGGCCAAGACAATCATCAATATTACCAGAGAGAAGAGAACATGCAGGGCATCAAGTCCCAGTATTCTGTGCAGTTCCAAATTCCTCTGGTCCTTGCCAAGAGAGACTGCCCACATGGGCTTTTTTTAAATCTGCAGACCTGTTGAACAAATACTCATATACTGATCCAAAACTGGGCCATAAGGCTCCCCCCGAAACAGTCATTCTTCTGTAGGCTGGCACATTTTGCCATTCGTGCCTGGACATGGCAGCTGCTGCAGGTGCCTTTGCAGGCTCTATACTGTTCTGCCAAAGCCCACACCACCACCATGAGCCTCTGCTCTGCTCAAAGCTGATGCTATCCTAGGCATCTTTCTCTGTGCCTTAAGCTTCCCTCCATGCAGCCACGTCTGATTTTTTTTTAACACAAAGTAAAATTTATGCCTAGTTCCCCTTTTCCTGTATCATTGTGAAAATACTACTCTCCCAGATAACACAATAATAGTTAGCCACATCCTCCATCTTTAGCCCAGAGATGTGTAAATTTGAAGCATTTCTGAGGTCTCTTTGGAACTAGAGAATATAATGGAGAGTCCTGGCCACTTCTCTGAGCCTGAGTAGCAGTAGTACAGGAAAAAACCTAGAAGGGCTTCCCTGCATCTGCTAGTACCAGTAAATGATTTTATCACAACACTGATGCCACTCCTCAGGGTGCAGGTGAGTCTGACTGTTGATCACAGAGGCATAGGGAAGGTGGGTGATGCTGTCTATATAGCCTGAGAAAAGGAACCTGCCAAAGCAGAAATCGCTTTAACAGCAAAGCTACAGTTCAACTTCTTGA